CACACACACACACACACACACACACACACACACGCACACACACACACACACACACACACACACACATGCCCATCTAAACTTTTTCATTATGGATCGCTTATGATGATTTGTGAAGGGAATGAGAGAGAGAATCTGGGGTCTAAAAAAAAATAAAAATAAAAATAAAATTAAACAACAACAACAACAACAACAACAACAACAACAACTGAAACGGTTTTCACCTTAGCAGTGGCAGATGCAGATCCCAGGGCTCGATCCCTAGACCTTACCACACCCCTGTACAGTATCGAGTTGACCCCTGTGTGTTTGAACCCGTGACCTGTGTTTTAGTAGTTGACTGTTGCTTGTCGTATGTGTGTGTAGCTGTAGGGGTTCGGTCTGTAGATCTGTCGACTAGGGGTCATAGTTGTGTAGAGGCCGTAGCTGTAGCAATTCTGAAAGGTCAAGGTCGTAGCTGCTACAGTCCCGAAAGGCCAAGTCCACAGACTTCCGGAAGGTCCGGAAGTGGCCTTTCAAGTTTTTCTCACATTATTCACAGCAGACCAGAGGCAAGTGGGCAAGTGGTGAGTCCAACTTCGCTTAGTCAGCGGTACCCAGTCCCAGTCTCACTTTGTACAGTCAGCAAGTACCATGAGGGACTGTGTACATCATGGGCCCGGTGGAAAAAGGGCAGACCAGCGACTTACAGAAGTATAAATCAAAAGGCAGCGTCCAGCCATTCATTCCTGCGTGAGCCATGCGGAAGCGCTGTCCAGGCATCTTGTGCGAGGTCTGCAGAAGCCCGAGGTTGAAGTGGGCTGAAGAGAGATAGTTCGTCCATAGCCAGTAGTAGTAGAGCGGCCATAGCCGCTGTAGCTTAGAGGTAGAGTTCAGTGTGTGTGTGTGTGTGTGTTTTGTACTGAGTTTGTGTGTGTGGGATATCCAGGGAGATCCAGAGTCGAGTGCGTGCGAACGGTTGTGTGAATACAGTGTCGGACAGAGGATGTGTGAGCGCTCAGGCGCCATAGCCAGTTGGAAGCGAGTTTGTATCCAAACTGTGTTCTCGACTTGAATATCTCTGAGCTTTGTGTGGGCACACAGCGCCAGCGTGGATTGACATCTGTTTGCATGTATGTGAAGAGAAGAAGAAAGCATGTCTGATTACACAACACACATTCCGGTCTATATATATAAATAAAAAAAACATTCCGGTCTTGCTAGCTCTCTGTCTTGCTAGATTTGAGCGGCTATCGGGCTCGTACTAGTGACCTATTCTCTCTTTTTGTGGTTGGAGTCGTTGAATATGTCTTGTTGGTTTTGTTGATTGTACACGGCCTAATTCTTTGCCCTGCTTTAGAGCATGGGCCGTTTGGATGCTTACGGCCCTTACGGGTGGCCACGAGTTCTTTTGGGGGGGAATGTATGTTTTGTGGGCCGGCATGGAAGGCATTCCCAGTTTTTTTCAGACCCTTAGCAGGGGGGGTCGGTGCATTCTTGCTGGTGGAGTCCTCTGTCTTAGGTAAGTTGTCTCTTATCTTCTTCCTCTTCTTTGCCAGTGACACGAGTGTAGTTTGAGATGAAGATGAATGTCATTT